GAACGTAATTGCGGGCTGTAATGCTAATTGTTGGGACCTGGGCTATGCTGACTGGGAAGCACTTAAGCGCACTCCGGCCGTAAAACGACGGGAAGTCAACCATAATGGAGTGTCTTCCCCGCCGGGTGATGACCGAGAAATGGCCAAGCCTGCTACCTGACACAAAAAACCTTGACAACTAGATCAAAGGGATATACAGGTCGTTAAAAAAAGAAAGAAATGACTATAGGACAGACATTCAGTGGGTCGCCTATTAGGTTTTCGAAATGAAATAACTTTAAACCCGCAGGTTAGGTTTGATGAAAAATGTTTAACTTATTTCCTCGAAAGAAAAGAACTTGAATTCCGCACACGATACTGTTGAAAGATAGGTAGCCTTCAAAGCGTTCGAATCCGTATTTGGATCAGCAGCAATTTGCGTTTTTATTAATTTTTTTTTGCGAGGAGGAGACAAAGTGCAAAAATCGCGAAATCTAAGTACATTTTTAATCAAGCCGTATCCGCCGAAAAACAATGGGGACTTATGAAAAGTAATAGGCAGCAAGAGCGGTGATAAACAAGTTCTGAAAATTGCCCAGTATTTGTGTTATCTTCCGTTTTTTCCCATTAAATATCGTGTTGCAGAGGAGCAACGCTCCATTTCCGTCAGCACTTCACTGTTCTTCCTTTTTTCTGAAACTGTAACTTGGATCCTTGTCGCAGTCATTGTTGGCTGGAGAAGAGCAGCAGCCAGAGGCGTTTTACGGGCGACCTTAATGAACACTATTGTAATGTATGCAAATGCCAGTCAATGAAAAAAGAACATGAGATTTTTTGCAGGATTAAAACACAGTTCATTTGGGGTACTGGTTAGATAATTTGTCAGTTTATCGTCTGCTTCAAACCTAAACTCGGTGGTTTCCAAACCCTTGATTTTAATTTTTGATAAAATTAATTAGTTCGTCACAATAACCCTTACTTGCGAGAAGTGACAAATAAATTAAAGTAGACAAAAAAATCCTGCCCATTAATCAACATGGGACAAAAAAAAACATACAAAAAAACACTCTTCAAAAGACGTTTGAATATAAATATAAAAAGTGACATATTCATCATTTTAATCGCAAAAATCTTGGTAACCAAAACATAACACAATAAACAGTCTTGGTATTTTTTATGAGAAAGACATTTTAATGATTTGGCCTTTCAGTTTTTATCCTTAAAATTTGTAAATTTATTGGTGAAAAAAATACCCCATAAATCTCCAGCTAGAATGTTTGAATTGATGATAAATAATTTCGGTATTGTCGTGCGATATTTTAGTCATAGAATTTTACAATGTGCGTGGGCTCTTTGCTTTTATCATAAGGAATGTGGATTTCTTTTCCAACTTGGCTCGGGTACAGTGAATTAATCCCCTACATGCAATCCACGTCTGAGCTATCAAATTAAAGGTACCCACGACAGACACCGTAGCCTGGGGCAAATTTGAGAGAAAGACCAGCGAGAAATTCCTCAACAAGCTTTATCACAGAGTCACGTAATGGGGCGTAATGTTTTCCTCAACCCAGACATGTGTCAGCACATGTTAACTACACCAGTGAACCTGTGTACAACACCAGTCATAAAACACTCCACAATATTACGGAGACCCTTATATCATATTCCTGGGAACAAGGACTATCTCGTGCTGGCCCTTACACAGCTCCTTTTCTTATACTGCTTGGCGTTTGTATCAGTCTCACGGTCATTCATCATTATTAGCCGCCTTGTTATTCTCGAAATTGGACTGTGTATACGCGAACGTAATTCATTACCAGTAACTTTTCTCAAATTAATTGCTTAATTAATTTTAGTTCATTCGTGTACCAACTTGTCAGCAGACCAATCTCGAACTGAGGCGCTTTGCCTGCGGATGCAAAATAAACAGCGTGGTGATTTTTTCCTGTTTGGTGAATTCAAATAAAGAAAAATATACTGAGATTTTTTTACACATCGGTAACAGGGCAATGAAATACAGCTAATCGGATATTTAATCATCTGTTATTCGAAGCATTTCTCCTTTTTTCAATATCAGAAATAAGGTCACATTTTATGTTATAAAGGCTCTATGTGAAAAAATGGAAGTTATTGAAGTTGTGGATATTGCCATAATATGACTAACCCAAGTGTTTTACAGCCCACAACCTTGCACCTGAACTTGGACGTCGTGCCCACAGTATATGAAAGTAAAAAACGAATTCCCTTTTCTTCAATTTCCAAACCCTGGAATCAGTATTTACCATCTGAATTAAGTTTTGCCTTCTCTTTCAACCAAAGGGAAATATGAAGTCTGAATTTGCAATAATAAAAACTCAATGTCACCGCGGTTTGCAGAACTTCGATTGCATTGAATGATATTATTCTTTGTCAAATGGTGATAAATTCTGTCCAACTTTCTGGAACGCTGCTCTACGCCGGGTAATGTTGTAAACAATGATAAGTCTGCGTCTAATGACTTAACTCGGAATGAACTTAATGCTGGGTCTATGTATCTTAATTCTTTCTGGTTTTCTTGGATTTAGTGCGATATTCTTACAGCCAAATGTGTCATGTTCCGGGTGATTAAGCTTTATCTAACGGCGTATTTTTTCCTACGTGATGATTTCTTATCAAATCATGTTCCTTAGATTGTTTTAGAATAACTCTTTAATCATGTCATGAAACACAGAACCTATAATTGGCAAGACAATGCGAGTAAATACGTTTATCATCCATTCCCATTTTTTTTTCAAATAAAATCCAGCTGCAATGGCCGAGAAAAAAATTTCAATTTTTCTTGATTTTATGTTTAAATAATGAACTTAGTATTAAATTGATAAAACATTTATACCGCACCACCGGGAACAAGTTCATTGTTCACACATACTGGGAAGTGGGCTTTCTTCCCATGTGCGCTATTCATGCCAGAAAGCCATGTTTGCTTATGACTACCTGCCACCTGACATTTTATTACTAATTCAAACATAGAACTAATGAGAAATTTGCATGGAAAAATGTGAAAATTCTTGGTTAACTCTAGAATGCGTCGCCAAGTGCTACCAGGCGTACCACGCACAAGAGCGCTTCGCTATTGTGCACAAAATTGTTTAGCGCCCTCCTCTTTGATTAAATTAGTCTTCAATCCTAACGAATCGATTTAAATCGAATTGTTTTTTTCCCAGAATGTACGAAGGCCTCCCTACCTTTACGATCGTTTTGCGTGATCGGCAAATTACCAAGAGTTTTCAATCACCTCTCTCTCGCGTTAGTATACTGGGTGATCACGAGAAAATTTCAATATCCTAATCCGTTAGAAAAAAAAAGGCGTCATCCGACCGTAAGGACGTTGTCTTTTTTATGTACTGATAGAGCGCCATGTTCTCTGTCACACAATAAATATCAAATTTTAAAATGTGTTGTTTATTAATTGTCCTGTAAATAATTCAAAGGACGACACAAAAACCATGTGGGCGAGATGAAACTGCGTGTGAACGCTGGTTGAAAAATGAGGACGAATCCCTAATTAGATTATCAAGTTTTTCTCACATTTTACCTGTCAAGATTAAGAGAAATGTACCAACTCTCCAAGGGGATCCATAGCGTCTCTGGGGGCCGGGCTGTAACTTAACACTCCTCTTAACGACTCATGCTATTAATTATTACATTCTAATAAATTACAGGAAAGGCAAAAATCATTGACAATGGATTTAACGAAAACAATGCAATCTTTTCTTGCCATGGCTGGTTTTACACTTAACGCTATATATATATCTAGCCGGCTTTAGAAGTGCTTCCGCGATGTATGGTGATAGTGCCTATGGCACGAAAAATGTCAATTTGTCTTGAAATCGGCAAAATGTCGTTTTCTATTCAATTGCCTCCAGCAGGTAATACGGTGCGTGAATGTCGTCTGCCGTGCGCGGCGGTCGTTGTACAAACTTTAAAAATTGGAAACGAAATAAAAGGAACAAAATCAAAATAGGAACGACTGGTTTTTAAAAATAGTTTTACGTTTGCTGATTAATTAATGTTAAGTTAAATTTAGATAGTTTTGTAATTATTGTTATTGAATTGAGATTTTTTCAATTTAATTCAACAGCGACATCTAGTGGTAAACAAACCACGACTATTTCCTTGCTTTACCTAATTCAATCAATTTGAGTTATTATCTGATATTAATTCTTGTTATTTATGAATAGAAAAACATACATTAAAGTCTGGCATCTAATTTTCTTATATTATGGGTAAGTTGATTATATACTAGATGCGGTAGTAGAGGCTACTTTAGGTTAATCATAACAGTATAGCAAACATCCAATTCATTTAGTTTATCCTTATAAATCATTTAAGTCTGTCGTACCATCATTTTATTTCATCATCTCGTATCAATTTGACATTAACGGGAAATGTATGCTTTTTCTAGAGGTTATAAAGATGAGAGAAAATAGGTTGGTATGCATTTAAGGAACATTTCGTTACTTCAACCTGGTGTACACGAGGCTTCCACACAAAAACCCGCATAAAACAAAAAGGTCAAGTTGAAAAAGGGGCGCATAATGAAGAAAGATTATCCCACTAATGGAGTAAATCACTTCTATAAGAGTGCAGCCAACTTGAAAAAAATCTAAATTGACAAAACAGCTCTGTTATGTTTTAAATAAATATGAACACAATTTGATTGAGATTTAAACACACTGTCGTTATTTCACGCCTTTTTGTGAAATATTAATAATCCCCAATATTACCTCAGTGTAAATTTATTATTATTATTTATAAGGGGGAAGGACTTGTTGGCTCCTGTCGTTTATAATCAGTGCATTAAACCCCACGGGCGGAGTGATTATCATGGCCATTAAGAATTCTGAGCAAGAAACTCGTCCAGATTGATCAACGACGCACAATTATCATCGTCGTCGCACTCGCTGGAGGATTCCAAAGCAAACAACACATGATAAGTAAGTAATGAGAAAACAATGCTCCCGGAACTAACTTCCCCCTACCTTTGGCTCGCCCCCTTTTAGCACAACTGCTGTAGCTGTAAAAAGTGCCAGCAAGGGGGTGGTGGTTCACGGCCCCGTGGTACGCCTCGTGAAATCCGGCGGCGGTGGCGGCGTGGTGAGCGAACCGGCCGACGTCCTCGTAGGCACAGGCCGCGTATTGCGTCGGTTTCGGGTGATAATACTCGGGTTTAGGATTGTATTGGTAGGGATATGGTTCACTGATGTACATCATTTCTATGGAATCACACCACGGCGATGCTCTGGCACGCTTGGCTTGTTGCTGCTGCTCGCGCTAACCTCCACCATTCATGAAAAGGTTGAAGTTGGTGGCGAACTTTGTGCGGGGGAACTCAACACTCAGCAGCTTAAACTTAAACGGTGGCCTCCTCTTTCCAAGGTCCCGCCTGATTGTATGCTCAGTGGCAAAGAAGCTGCAGCCTCTGCCGCCTGTTAGCTCAGAAACTGCGAAATTTCCTTCCGTCAACTGATCTCAGGGCTCTGCCGAAAGTTCAAAGAGTGTCTGCGTGCGCTCTCGGCACAGCTGTGGGCTAGTATCTATGCACTGTCAGGTTTCGAGGTAGATTTCGTCAACTCTACGCATCGGCAACGTATGTGCGGTATGTTCGCTACTTCATACGTTAAAGGGCCCGCTCCCCCACATTCGCCTGGGCCAGCGGTGGAATAATCGTATGTAAATGATGTAACTGATATCCTCTGTTGATATATGCACAGACAACTCTCCTCGGCTTGAAACTGTCTCTGAAATCCCTCTGAGCTTTGCCGCGGCCAGCAACAAGTTGTGTATCTCCGTCACTCTACTCCCGCCCCATTCTGGTCAGGCAACCCCAGTGGTGTGGACTTAGACGCAGTGGTCAAACCGCAGCCTTTTTTTCAAAGTACGCCACGCTCGACAACTTGCGTAGAAAGGGGGATACCTATTTAATGCGAACACCAACGGTACTTGATTGACAAACACCTTAGTTTAGTTAAAAGGCGTCCCTTAATGTTGTCGTGTGGTTTAAGTGTCGAAACACCTGTGTTGACGCTTAGCGGTTAATTTGTATATTTTTTCTTCTTTTATTTTTTGGAGAATGTCTCTAGAGAAATGATGAAAACAAGTTGCCGAAAGTCGTGTTCTCGTAAAACGCATGCGTGATTCCTCACCTTATATATTCAGTGCAGTTCAGTTTTTTAACATAGAAAAGTAATACATATTTCTCTTGTTATACGAACAGTAGGTGTAGAAGGGAATACTTTTCAACCCGGCCTCGCCTCGCCCCTCGGCGATCAGGGTTAAATTATCGTTTGTAAAGGGCTAAAATTTCCCGCCTCGTGCGTTAACTTTGTAAAAGGTGTTCAGTCAGCTTCAGGCTTCGCCTAGCAGGAAATTGCAGATGCCATCTCAATTTTCTTGGTTATGTCATCCATGTCAACGTCTTTTATTCCTCTGTAATATCTTAAGATTTATTTACAAAGACATTGGGACGTAACATCCTTTTGCATGTCAAGCAACATGTTGGGTGAAATGCGCCGACTGAGTTCGGATAGTGCAACGAATGCACGTTTCATGCTCTGATTAGAAAGTCACTTTTATAGGTTTAAGCCTTCAATTTTGATTTCTTTTTACTGTAGTTTTCGGTAAAGATGCCGTGTCGATTCACCTTTCCTCCTGACCCGTTCACTATTTCAAAAACACATGATCAGATTGGTGTAGACGGCTTACACAAGCTATATTCGAGCACACTTGCAATTAAAGTCAATTTTCATCCAATTTTTTTGAAGTGTCATCATGTTTCATTTAAATCATTCGATCTGAAGAGGACGCTGTTTAGTCACAGACGGCGCGTACATTGCGTTTCATGTAATTGATCGTCTTTAATCGAACAAACAAGACCAACGTTATTTGTGATCGACTTAATAATCACCCGAAATCTTCGAATGCGAATAATTAAATAAACTAATCCATGAATGACCGGACGGTTAACCTCAAGAACAAAGCAGACAATCCACTTTTTTCTTAGCTCAGCTGGAATCTTATAATTACCATTTTTTAGCAATAATGATAGATAGTTCGTATGTATTAAGATTAATATTATTATGGTTAATATAACATTTCGCCGCACATTATATTTCATCTGTGCTGAATTCAAACAGCCTTACCATGCATAAAAATTCCTTTTTACTTTTTTTTTAACCAAAATTTGAAGAAGAGTTTAAGTCTTCTCAGAGCACGTATCACCCATAATGTTTCTTAGACTTTTGCACCTATAATCGTCCGTTCCAAAGACAGGTCGCTTATTTTATGTTTCAAAAAGGATATATTCTACATTTGTTCCGTTGACAAGTAACGTATTTCATATTTTTGAGATAACTTCCTACATTCGTTCCGTAGTCAACTCACAGACTTCCTATCTCAAAATTAAGCTTCTGTACTCTCTCCTGATATGTTCACGTGCCAATAAAAATCCATCAAGTGGCACGTACAAGAATCGTGTGCTACGCGGAATTATGATTCTTTTTTTCAGCGTTGTTTACCGCAGTGCAAGTGCAGATAGACCCTAGCACGACAGAACGAAAAGTATTCTCACCGTTGCAGGATCTTCTAGTGAGTAAAAAAAAGCCCATAATACATTTTCGGTCAGACCCGCGAGTTACATGTTTCACGTTTCGTACAGCTTTGCATGCAGGATCGTGGGTTAAAACGCCAAACTCGGGATTGAGCTATAAATATTAGTTCACCGATCGGCCCCCAGATGGCAGTAGCACACAGTACCGTATTTAAATCTCGACCGACCTGTCTAACATCACCTTTGCTTCATTAAGTTTTAATGGCTCAAGAGAAAATTTATATCGACACCACATCCTCCGACAACAAAGCAGGGTCCTCTTATAATGATAATTTGAGTGCATTTTTCCCTAAAGTATGTTGAATTCAAGGCTCTCTAATTAGATTCGAGTCCGTGATGATATTTTAATTTCAAAATAACAAGGAAGAGCAGGTTCTTCCTAAATATTCACCTATGCTTGTTTCAAGACACACCTACGGCCTAAACAAACTTTGAGCAAAGCTTTACATAAGAAGAACTTTTCTTAAGACAACATAAACGTTTTGATTATTTTTCTTCCTTTAGGACAACGCCAACTTCTATATAAGTGACTCTTGTTAAATGTTACTCCAACTTCGTGCAAGGGACTGAAGTAAGAGAATCATCACGTGACTGGTGCAACTCAATTTCTTAATAATTGCAGAGTTTAGCGATACTGCAGTTGGCTTTATTTCACTGTAATATTTCCACTTTCATGACAGTTAAGTACAATGGGCAGTGAATGGGCCTTTGTGTAAGCAAAATATATTTCCAACAAAACCACTTTGTTTTGCGTTTTCTATTAACTACGGACATTTTTGGTCATTTCATCATTTGATTTATATCGCTCGGTGCGAACATGTCGTTGAGATGACCACATTGTGTGTACGATTCGTTTCCCTTGATTGATTCAATACTTTAAAGGTGTGCATTCATGAATTCCTTCAGTGCCTGGTCGTCAAGCAGACGACAGTTTTGTGGAGTCTTCTTTCCCACGCTTCAATAGAGTCCAGGCGTCCAATCACAGCAGTCACAGTGCGCCTTAAGACTAATGGCCCAGGTAAAATTATTGGAAGAACCCGGGAAACCGTCCCCCAGGTAGACGAGTACCTTCAGAGCAAAATGCAATCACGACCGGGGTCTCTCCTCCATCAATCTCTGCCATGACGAGCTCACGCGGACAATAGAAGCCCTCGGGGCCAAAATATAAAACCGAGAAAAAACCCAAAGGGTGAAGAGAAACCGATCTAATTGTGCGCCTTCGAAACTGATAGCTTGTTTGGCCTCTCAAATTGCTGTGTTTTTTAAGTTGGAATGAAAGAGTCATGTGACGATGAAAAAGGTTCACCACAAGTTTCGGTACAGCAACAGTAGCTCTCGAGAGCGCCTACGATTTGTCTAGCAGACGATACCTAGGGAAGATCTCATAACATGATGAAAATACTTGCAGCCAGGTGTGAGAGATGCAGCGCAAGGGCAATGGCGTGGAAAAAGTGGGTAAAAATAGCAACAGTGAAGATGGAAGAAGGGGGTTTTCCGTTTACACTTGGTTAGCTAAGCATGCCCTAATAAACAAACTCTCCGTTACGTTGTTCATTTTAACAGTGTTGCCCCGTTATCGAGGGCTGCCTTGACTTCCCCCGTGCGTGACTTCACTGTTCTATAACAGAGCCTTGCAGGAAAGAACGAACTGACATTATTGTCGATCTTGACACGCAATCCCAAGAGGGTTCGAATTTCGACGCGGAGCCCATTAAAACTGGAGAGATATACAGGGAGGCCATAAGAAAGGCCTCGCCACCTGTGGAGTTAAGACCTATATAGTATAGAGCGACGATCGCAAATGGCTGATAGCCCACCATTCTATAAATGGGCCGCAATCCGAACTTCTTTTTTTCTTTGGATTTGAATAAAGGCTTTGTTATATATATAAAATGTAATCACCCTTCATTTGAAGTATGGTAACAAACCGGCGACAGTGCGCCGAAAATTGATCTAAGGACAACTGGTGTAATGAGGTTTCTAGATTTCTGTTGTAAGATTCCGACATCTGCAGGCGAATGAGAAGCCATTGAAAGTCGGAGACAAACGATATATAGTTTCAATGAACGTGATCACAAAAAAAGAAATAATTATATTCAAAACGAGCAATCACAAGTTATTTCATTTGGCAAGATAGTGAAGTCAAAGGGCCTGTGTATTTAGAAATATTAAACAAATAAGGATCTTCTTTCCGAAAGGATATTCAGTTTTTGCGTAGTATTGACATTGTCTCCGAGCTGACTCGTCAAGTTTACCCGAGATTTTTATCACCGACCCGGGGACAGACCTGTCATTTACCTCAGAAAACTAATTGTATCGCCGGAAGCTAGAAGATTTGACACCGTCCCTCTTCCACCACCTTTTTCTAAATTTGCAGTTTTCAGATTTCGTTGATAATATTCGTGTCTAAACCCAGTTATATCTGCACAAGCGACAGTGTGCGTGGAGACAGTGAACTAGTTCACTATAACATATGGGAAAGGGAGGAATATAGCGCCAGGCCTTCCATGGATTTACCATAGGGAAAAAAATTAAAAAATAAGGGAAAGTTTTAAAAATAAATACCTAAGGTCATGATCGGCGTGGACAGGGGATAAAAAGATAAGGAAAGGTGAAGAAGAATGGGAAGAGGGGTTAGATAAGCGTACAACCGAAACCGATGGCCATCCAAAACACCTGTGAAATAATCAGATAAAAATCAAGAAAATTTCACCCGACCCACCTCCACTTCCTCCCCATTATCATTTCAAGCGGCATAATCCCCATTCCGTATCGTGTTACTTTCTTTTAATTTTCCCCCCAATGTCAACGTTTCTGGAGTTATCAACAGGAAATTAAACCACCTCTCAAAGATGGTGGATTCGGATAGGACGAGATAGGCAAGATATATAGGTCTATCCTAGCAGTATGGCCGCGGGCTAGTGAAATTGCACTACGGAATTTTCCTCCGGTTTTTGTTTTATAAACACTTTTTCTCGAGGCCCTTTGAACTTGTGGCATGAGAACAAGGTAAATTGACAATAATTTTCACAGAGACTCTTTTTACGCGCTGTCAGGTTGTTGTTCCTCCATTCAGCGGCTAATGGTCGTCTGCGATTATTTATGAGACTGAATAATAGTCAGGGCGGCTCATCTACATCGAAACATTATAATTTTCACATTCGAATGCATGTTTGCAACCCTTTCAAAATAACACAACGGTTATAATGAATCTTACTTCCTTGACATACTATTATGAGAAAGACGAAAAAACAAGATATTTGAACGAAGAAATAAAACCGTAAAAAAGATTGCTACCAGCTTATCGATTTAAATATGTGGATGAGGAAATAAAAGAAGTTTTGTGATCATATAACACTTCAGTTGAATTATATTCTATAGCAAGTGTATGCCAAGCTTGTATGTAGTTTTTTTTAACTCAGGGACTATCTTAACCCCAGTTTGATGATAATCGTAAAAAAAAAGACAGGCAAAATGGAAGGTAACAGAATTTGAAAATGATAAAAAGCGTTATGATGAAATAGTCGCTTCCTGTTTTTTACATCTGTATATTTAGCAGTTGTTTATCAATAAAAACAACTGGATAATAATAACGTGGAGATAAAAGTGAAATACGGTTCAATGACGACATCAGAATGATTTTATGTATGCATTTTACTGTTATTTTGAAGAAGCAGAGAACGATGGTTAAAAAAACTCATCATAAAATTTTTAAAAAAATTCTACCGCTACTTTTTATGATCATTATGAAAAATATTGGAAATAATGAAAAACAACTATCAAATAAATTTCTAGAATACCACCTAATGATAACAGTTTCACTACCCATGGGAATGCCCGTAAGAAATGTTCAATCGCCCGTGATGGTCGTAAAATACGCCTCTATATTCAGCAACAACATCGGTTACAGTGTATTTGTGTGCGCACGTTCAAAATATCCAGATCCCGGAATCTTAAATAAAATCACGTGAATCGCAGGGCGTGTGCTGACGAAACAGACGCCTCTCCCCGTGTGGCAGACAATCAGTTAGTAGAAATAAGGGCTGGGTTCGCGGGTCGATCGCCTGACGGGTATCCATATCAAAAAAGAAGCTCATATAAACAACAATGGTAGAATCAGAGGCGGTATTGTTGACGATTTTTCTAACAATAACACCCGTGTTCGATAATGTAGGTCGTCGGTTGGGTTTTAGCTGAAGAAGTCATTTAGTATGGACTCCTAATATTATTTTGCAAATCGCCCCGTACAGCAAATAGATACGATTAAGTTGGATCGCAAGCGGAGTTCCCTATGCCCGAAGGCGGGGTCCTATTTCGTCCGAATCAAAATAATATTTAGTTAATTGTTAAGTTTCATCTCCCCCCGGGGTTTGCCGATGGGTGATGAGCGTTTATAACTGGGTCATTATTAAAACGATATTTTATTTGGCAGTCTCTGGAGAGAACTCGCCCAGTGGTGCGCGACCGTGAAGCTGAGTTTTACACGAATTCTTATGTCCTCATCACACGCCTCGCTGCGCGCTGCTCACTCCGCGTTGCCATGACCACCGCACGCCAGGGCTCGTGCGACACGAAGACTAGGCGAGCATGCGGAACGGGACTTTCAAATAAAAATCATCTTATCTGTTTATCCACGTTATGATTATGTCTGCGTAGTATATCCTTCATCATATCGTGGAAGATTCTTTTAAAAGCAATGTACTGAGCGGGCTTTTGCGGTTAAGCGGTTTGCTTCACCTCGATCAATTTCATTTGTAGATAATATGCCCGTTAAATTTAATAAATAAATATTCATTTAATATGATATATATTAACTGCTATTTTAAAAACGCATTTTAGAAGTTCCACGCAAAGACGTACGGATTTTCTTCCGATTTCCCTATGGGTTTACTAGCCAATACAGTTAAAGTTTAGAAAGCATTACTTTGAAACTGCTGTATGGGATGGAATATTTCAATGAGCAAGACAAAACGTGAAACCTGAAAAGACAGAAATGTATTTTGTTTTTGTTTTCAAATGTGCACGCATCCCAGCAGCATCTCTTAAAAATTCCACCACTTTTCCACGCAGGGAAATTCCTCTCTGTCCTATCAACTCCTCACGGGTTATCAAAGAGAGCGATCTAGGGTCAGAGCCTTGATGAAGACATCTCCTTTAGATAGACATTCTAATGACTGTACAACGGAGTTTGCGCATTTTGCATCTGTTTTAAAGAAGCGAAACAGGAAGCTAAATTTTTCCAGTAACATTTCTGCCCTTCCCACGCTTCTGTGATACCTCTACAAGTAGTACAAGTGGACATGTCGTCCAGGTATGATGGATGAACCCCCCGTATGTATTAGCGGCTCAAAAGGTGTGCTTAAGCTGGACAGCGTCAAAATGTTAATAATCATAAGTAGCGGTCAAGATTGAAGAATTTGTCATGTCGATGCCGATAATAATAGGTGTCCCTCGTTCATGGACGCGTTGTCATTATTCCCGCACTCCGTGGCGCCATAGATACTCCTTACATCTCGAGGTCCCCTCCGGGCTTTCCCACTAAACCTTCAAGTCGATACTCTTTACACAAATATCGATGATAAAGCGTTTTTTATTTTGTCTAAATAATAATTGTACAAAGATAAATGAAAAAGAAAAACAAAATACACTTATTTTACAATGCTAACACCCATCTAAAAATGGAGCGTTTCAAATGTTTTGCCCTACGACTGATTTTACAACCAATAAAAATATTAACAACGATATACTGATAACAATTTTAAAATGAGTAAATAAAAAAACTCATTATTTTTTGCATTATCTTTCAATCATGATGATAAATTATCCTATTTTTTTGTTTCCCTAAACCCGCCTACCAACATTCAATACTAACAGAGCATTCAAAGCTAAAATTGCTTCTTCAAAGGTATTTTATGTGCAATTGTAGAATGTCATCACGCTACAGAATTGCAGGTTTAAATGTGGGAAATCAGCGTATTATATTTCTCTGTAATATGCTGGTAAACAGGATATTTAGATTTTAAAGTTTTAAGTTACTCTGGTTGTTTAAGGTTACGTTGATGATTTCAAGGGAAAGAATCACGTATGATGAACAAACATATGTTGTTTGCTTTAGAACTTTTACAAACCATTATGGCTTGTCGAATTAGGATTTCTTAAAAATAGAGCAGCTGGCAATGGACTAGTTTTGGGGCCTATTTACGGTGTTGTTGTTATTTGTTCGGGTATCATTTCGTCAAGTCACGGTGATTCAAGTAATTATTGTTAAAAATAGCTTCGTCGTAAACAAATTTAACACACCTATCTGTTATTATCACGCTTATCTTAAGTATAAGCAGGCCTAATTACTAAAAGACGAAAACATTTTTGAGGAAGCGACGCGATTATAAACTGCAAATAATCGTGAACTATTAAAATAGGGTAATAATATTATATGGAATTTTTACAATGTCCAACAGACTCTAATAAATGAATTTTAATAAGCTTTTTTGATTTACCGGCACACATTAGTTCACCACTATATTGGTATATATTTGATTTACTTAAATGCCATGTGAATTGAAGCTTATATACAGGAGAATGAACTGTGGTCACCCACCCGCTAAAGAAGTGTGTATAGCCCGTAATGTTAACCAAATGACATGTAAGCGTAGTTAAAGTAGCGGGCGAATTAATTTTCCTTCATTACTTGATGATTGAGTAATTCGGGTGAATTGACTTACTGCATGATGGCAACTCAGCATTCGGGCTTGTTGGCAGCCTTTAAATATTCAAAGGAAATCACTGTTCAGGAAAAACAACCACGTGTCAGATAGACATTACTGTAAAATATTCTCTAAAATTCAATAAATGGTTCGATGGAGAGATAATTTCATCAGCTTCGTATTATTTGTCCAAGGTCAGCGCTTGGGAGGCTTAAGAAAGGCGCTAGAAAACCCGAAAATCTTCAGACAATAGAAAGATGCATTAAGAGAGAGATTTACAACATTTTGATTTCTAATATCTTCTTCATTCTGCTTAACCTAGATATTAGAGCCATTTGCCCGTCTTTACTGCCTCAGCTGCCTTAGAAATATACTGACAGATTTAAACCCTGGACGAATAAAGCCCCGGGTATAGAAGGCGTGTTTTTGAAAAGAATAATAGAGTAAAGTATTTCTTTTCAGAATCCATACAAGGCGAGGATGGCACTCGAAGGTAAAATTTCACGTTGACCTTCCTATAGGTGGGCTACGACTTCGAACCAGGACACCGCACATTTTATGATCATTTTGGTAAGCTGTTACAAGAAACTGTGAATTTCATATCATTTCTTATTCTTTCAAAGGGTGTCTAGATACTGATTGATATGGTGACGTAAGAATGAAAAGGACCAAGATGTTAAAATGGTCGTTTAAATGTGGTATTGAAAGTAAATAATTTGGGAAAGGTTTGGCTTGTAAGGATTATCATGCATGAAGAAGAAAGATGGGATTGGAAATTGTCTTCAAAATCCCCCAAAACCTTGTTTCAAAGGAGTTTGTAATGATTGAACTTAATCACACCCACTGGTCCTATTGAAGGTACATCACCGCTCCGTCCACCAATTTCTTCGGATGGACAATATTTGTCGGCCTTATCTGATTGAGTCAACACATCGCACTCGCACGTTCTGACAAATACTGGTCCATCTTTAGAATCGTGATTCTTCGTTTCTACTTTCATCCTGAAGATGTTACGTAACGGCAGCGTTGGGGCTATTGTGTAGTCTGGGAACGCCGTTTCCACCCATTCTGTTTTTATCACGCTATTATCAGCAGAGGCCAGTCCCGAAACAATTTTGTTCAAATTAACAATCATATTATCGCTCTAGCAAATCGTAACGATTGTGTCGAGCTGATGGACGGATTTCAATGGGACCCTTTTCAGAAGAAGAGTCGAGGATTGAATAGAAGAAGATCAGCAGGCTCCTATATATTATATAAACCACACCTATCATGTGACAGTCTGTGAGAAATTTTCCCCGCAACAACTCATAATGATACAAACAAAATATTTCGCACCGGAGTTCCATCAAAATGCGCAGCGGGAATTACATAAACTTGGGCAATATCGGCTACCATATTGTTCGACCCGCGCTGCTTCTCAGCGGCAGACGATGGCGTCGTCATCTCATTTTGGCGGTTTACAATCCAGGGTAAAATCCCAACGAAAAGTGACTTAATTAAGTCGAGTTTTGGTAGGGAAAGTAAGTAAAAGTTAGTCAATTAGACAAGAGAAACAATTAACATAACTGAAATGCCTAGAGTCAAACTTGTAAACAAGTAATATACCTGGTTTAACCCTTTGAATAACATGACAAAAAACACCTTCGTTTTCTTCAATTTACCCCATGGCATCCCTTAATTTTACCATTATCGTTGAATTCAGTCTCAACAAATACTCAAAATATTTCATTAAATAAAAACAATTCTGTTAGTGATGCTGATATTAAAGTAAAAACTAAAATCTAATAGGTTTGATCAACAGGTGTCTGTCATCACTAAGGTGAAAGTGGTGGAATTCGTGTATAAAAAATATTAGGTAGTTTTGCATTTGCGGTTACCGACAGACCAGGGATGTGTGCATGTCATTATCAGACGAGGTCCACCTTCACCAATGAACCCTAGCAAATATCACAAAATCACCTGTACTTCACTAAAATATTCGTTCAGTGTTGAATAATGATATTTAACCTAGTGTATCACCCATTTTCTCTGACCAGCTAGCATTATAATATCGACTGCGTCTTATAGACAGGCGTCGACGTGACGGAATTTTTGCCTTTTTAATTTACAGGTGAAATAAAATATATTCCATCTACTTCCACTAAATGGACCAGAAAGTGTGAATTTCAACTTGGTAACTCAATGGCAGTCATCCCACGTCGCGTTTGTTTACTGTTTTTCAGTTGACTGGTCCCCTTGCACCCGTGACGGAGATTCCCACTGAGGTAAAACCAACGTGTCAACCGAGAGCTCCCACAGCGCTATGGTATACCCAGAGACAATTCCAAACCAAAACCTCTCAAAATATGTAAATTTCTTACCAGTTCCCATTTTCCCAGAGTTGTTCATCATGGGTTTTAGCTCCTGGAAGTGCTCGAAGGATGTGCTATCCATCATCATTTTCAACGTGCGGACGGTGGTGCAGGCTCAGGGAGATAAAAAGTCTCGTATTTTCGCTAGGCAGTGGTATTCCCCCGGCCTCGGTTGGCTGGCCGTATGACCTGCCTGTGCAGTGTTTGGAGGTAGAATGTCGAGAGTGGTTAGTCAAGCGACACCAAATCCCCCTTCCACTCGGTGTGAACGCTTCTCCGCTTGGGCTGCAAAGTACAGTTTAGTTGAGAGTTCCGCCTGAAAGGACACGATGTGACACGCTGATCACCACTGATGTGCAGTCATAGGAAAGACCGATCATGTACAGGGGGACAATATCACGCGCACCGTAGCCTCACTCAAGTGTGAACATATCGTACTCACCTGTTTCTATTGAGGGCTACGCTTGACTAAGAAACCTTGTCGTTTCAAGTCTTCCGCCTCGTGCCCGTAAACCTTCCCAAAGTGCGACACTCTTGACGACTGGGGGAAACGCGCTTGCCAAGGACCCGTCAGTGTTTTCTAATATTGAAGCGGCAAACCCAGTGGGACCTATAGAATATGATGGTGGAAATTTGCGTGCTAAAGGGACACCGGAATCTCCCCCATTGTCAGTCCCATTGACAGCCTCATACATATGCAAATGAGGACAATACCTGGATCCCCATTGGTCCAAATGAGCTCGAGCGCCCGAGGGCCATTAACGTGTTAGTGTCATCTCGATGTGTAGGTCAAATAACAAATGAGTGAGAAGGGGGACCACGAACACTCTATCTTGATACTGCGAATAAGACAAGAGGGGGGTATATTAAATCGATATATAACAAGCACTGGAATGCCCCACGAGTATATGTCTTGATGTGTCGAGGTTGATTTTGTTATGACAAGTGTCATACCTGTCGACTGACGCTATGTGATTTATACTCACCTTGATTCCATGTGATGGCCGAATTATGATGAACTTGGTTTGGGCAGACCTTTTTTGGCAGTTTTATTTTGTAGCTTTTTTAGAATGATTGTTTCAAATTCCTGTAATTTGATTGTAAACGATGTCAATTTTAATTTTATTGGTTTTATTTACCCTTTTATAATTGTGTTTAATAAACATTTTACCAGCATGGTTGATATATTGTGCCGAGCTTCTTTTTCGCCGAGAGTGCATATTGTTTTATAGATGAATAGATAAAACATATGTAAAATGAGAATTCAGGACTCTAAACCTCGAGGTGTATGATTCCTTTGAGAGAGAGAGAGGAAAACTCACGCATCAATGCTTTCTTTAAAAACCCAGAAGAAAAGAAAACTAATACCGTACTGATGATATAAAAAGTGATGACTCGTTTCAAATTTTCTTCGCTCAATGAAGACATCAAATGTGGGTGTAATAGAAACATACCGGGTTGACAAGAGCTTCTTATACGTAGTATGATTGTACGTATGATAGCGTGTAATATCGTTTACATGAACAGCGGTCGACTGCTTTTTGTACAGGCTTTTTGCAGCACAGGTTTCATAGTGCTCAGTTTTTCCTTTTTTTACCGCATGAATATGTTATTTTCGACTCCTGAAGACACTACATGTCACGTCATGTCGTATACGATACGGGCAATCTGATAAATGTTTTTGTCCATGGGCACATGGCCGATCTTATTAGGAATATGTACTATATATAAGAGAGAGCGACAGAGATCGACAGGGTTACATATGTATCATTTTAACACTTATGATCAATCTCAGACAACTTGAAAAGAAATGATTCAATGACTCGACCCCAGGATCGAGCATAAGCCTTTGTCCTTTTATATTGGATCCTAGCTCGCCCTGTAATACGGATATGCTGTACATTTGCCCGTATCCATACATACCCATGGTCAAATGACAGTCCTTTACAGGGAACAGGGTACCATCACTTATATCAGGTGATATGTTTATACTCCCTGTATATATATGAGAGGAGTAGACAGTCCCTCCATATATTCATCACAACTTGAACGTTCAAACGCCCTCAGGTGCTGCAGGTAGGCTTGGCTGTAGAGTCAATCTTGCTGACCACGCCTACCCAAACCTGACTGTCGTGTTTGTGTCCATTGGTGACCACACGACCTTGGTCACTTTTGGTCCGGTGGTAACAGGTACTGGCCAGTGGGGGGTCAGATTGGTCAGGAGTGGGAGGGGCAGGTAAAGGCGCAATTTTAGCACGTATTTAGGTAGATCACTGCAAAATGGGAGGAATAGAGCGCCATGGATCACTACTCTCCCCTACCTGCTGCCACCCTGTCCTTAAAAAGCGTTTCCCACTGGGAAATGTTTCTGTTTATCTGAAGAAAACACTGACACACTCACTCACTCACTCACTTACAAGCACACACGCACGCACGCACGCACACATACACACACACACACACACACACACAAGCACACAGACACACACACACACACCTGCGCAGTATTGAATTACTAGTACTTGGTCTACAATTTATGAGGCATTGGAAACCAGAAGAATTCAACTATATAATAGAAACGGGATATTGCTCCTTTGGGGTCGCCAAAACATTAGGTCATGTCATGTTGGAGGTTTTTCTATACTCCTATTCAACACATTTTTGCTTGTTTGTATACAAATTCATTCTCTCCGAGATCATCCCTCGGCTCATCAATCACTGACACAGAAGTCTGATTATTTTCGCTTTGACACCTTCTGATCCAGTTTTTACTCGAAATAAGATCACCTATACGAGAATGTGCACTTGAAGTTCTTGTCGCGCAGTGGCTGTGAAAACTCCGTAGACCATCTTGTATAAATATCGTGTTTATACGTTGATAAGAAACTTCAGAAAAGTTTTAATGGGCAAATGCACGTTTCTAAATGGCGATCTAATTAAGGCCTTCAATAAATCCCAACTGAAGACAGATCTGTGATTCTAATGTTATATCATATTATATCCCAACTGAAATTTCGACCTTTCTTCGAATGCCTGAAATGTATGTAGCTGACACTCCTCTCTGCGCTATATTTATAGGGACCTATAGCAGGCGCCTACGGTAAAACCATAAATCAAATAAGCTACAAAAGATAAAAAAGTTGTTTTTGTTTAAAAAATAGGATAGTGTTGTCTGACACCTCTCCTTCTGTGTACTTGACGCCTTGGCGGTGACAAAAACGCGACGTCAACTACAGAGATGGTATTGTAAAAACTGGGGAAGATGACGAACTACGAACCCTCGGGACACGACAAATATAACTGACAACTTATGGTACAAAAGGTGACACAGAAAATGTTTTTATAGCATATTCACTTGTGGTTCAATTATCTTCGCTACCTTGTTCATTTTACGTTCCTACTGGGACCGGACATATTGTTCTTGGCGCTTCTCCTCTTGCTTTGAACATGGCCAACCTTTTGTTGTTGGTGTAACCACAAGAATGTGATCAGCAAGTCAGGTGCTATAAAATCGTCATATTCTTGTTTACTATTTTGTTAATTAGAGCCCAAAAGGAAAACACTGGGAATGACTTGTTTATTTTGCACTTGGCTCTAATTTATTCATTACCTTGTAAAGGTGAGCAAAACAATATTTACTGTAGGGCCATAGCAGAAAAAAACATTAATTANCTTATAAATGAATTTTAACAAGCTTTTTTGATTTACCGGCACACATTAGTTCACCACTATAATGGTATATATTTGATTTACTTAAATGCCATGTGAATTGAAGCTTATATACAGGAGAATGAACTGTGGTCACCCACCCGCTAAAGAAGTGTGTATAGCCCGTAATGTTAAACAAATGACATGTAAGCGTAGATAAAGTAGCGGGCGAATTAATTTTCCTTCATTACTTGATGATTGAGTAATTCGGGTGAATTGACTTTACTACATGATGGCAACTCAGCATTCGGGCTTGTTGGCAGCCTTTAAATATTCAAGGGAAATCACTGTTCAGGAAAAATAACCACGTGTCAGATAGACATTACCGTAAAATATTCACTAAAATTCAAAATAAAAAGTTCGATGGAGAGATAATTTCATTAGCTTCGTTTTATTTGTCCAAGGTCAGCGCTTGGGAGGCTTAAGAAAGGCGCTAGAAAACCTGAAAATCTTCAGACAATAGAAAGATGCATTAAGAGAGAGATTTACAACATTTTGATTTCTAATATCTTCTTGATTCTGCTTAACCGAGATATTAGAGCCATTTGCCCGTCTTTACTGCCTCAGCTGCCTTAGAAATATACTGACAGATTTAAACCCTGGACGAATAAAGCCCCGGGTATGGAAGGCATGTTTTTGAAAAGAATAATAGAGTGAAGTATTTCTTTTCAGAATCCATACAAGGCGAGGATGGCACTCGAAGGTAAAATTTCACGTTGACCTTCCCATAGGTGGGCCACGACTTAGAACCAGGACACCGCACAGTTTATGATCATTTTGGTAAGCTGTTACAAGAAACTGTGAATTTCATATCATTTCTTATTCTTTCAAAGGGTGTCTAGATACTGATTGATATGGTGACGTAAGAATGAAAAGGACCAAGATGTTAAAATGGTCGTCTTAATGTAGTATGGAAAGAAAATAATTTGGGAAAGGTTTGGCTTGCAAGGATTATCATGTATGAAAAAGAAAGATGGGATTGGAAATTGTCTTCAAAATCCCCCAAAACCTTGTTTCAAAGGAGTTTGTAATGATTGAACTTAATCACACCCACTGATCCTATTGAAGGTACATCACCGCTCCGTCCACCAATTTCTTCGGATGGACAATATTGTCGGTCTTATCTGATTGAGTCAACACATCGCCCTCGCACGTACTGACAAATACTAGTCCATCTTTAGAATCGTGATTCTTCGTTTCTACTTTCATCCTGAAGATGTTACGTAACGGCAGCGTTGGGGCTATTGTGCGGTCTGGGAACGCCGTTTCCACCCATTCTGTTTTTATCACGCT